AAGTTGTCAAATTCCACGATACAAAACTCTAGACCATTATGAGTCCTCGGAGTTTTTAACTTCTTATCCAATTGATTTTCCACAATTTTAAGCCAAGTCCATAATTTATGAAAAGTCTCAGATTTAGCCTTTTAAGGGTAAATCCATACTTTTCTGGAGTAATCATCTACTAAGGACAGAAAGTACTTATTTTTACCAAAGGCGTGTTGCTCTGTAGGGCCCTACAAATCTGCATGGACATAATCCAAAGGTCTCTTTGTTGTATGTGAACCCGTCTAAAAACTTACCCATGTGAGACTTTCCCAACATACAAGTTATACAAAAGTTTAAAGGTTCAACAAGACCTTCACCAAGTAACTTTTGGTCACTCAAATACTTCAAACAATTATTTCCAATATGCCCCATTCTTTTGTGCCACAATTCAAATTTATCACCAGTAACACTAAGGATATTAGCTTCTTATGAAGCAATAGCATCACCCTTCAGGTAGTATAACCCATTTTTCTTAGATCCATTCATTACAACTAGGGAACCTCTCATGACTTTTAGTGTATTATTTTCAGATTTGAGGACATATCCTTCATCTTCAAGGATTCTCAACGATATAAGATTCCTTTTAAGATTATGGACATATCTTACATTCCTTAACCGTCTGATAACACCATCATACATCTTGATGGCCATGTCCCCAATACCACTAATAGTCTCAGAATTATTATCACCCATATAAACCTTTCTAGGTTCAACTTCGCTATAATTATAAAACCACGAACTGATGGAACTCATGTGGAATATTCAGCCTGCATCTAAAATCTAGTCTTGACTAATGTCTTCACAAGATACAGTCAGAACATGCAAGCTGTCCAATTCATGGCTAACAACAACATTGTTCAATTCCATATTGTTTTGATCATTTTTCTTCATTTCCCAATCAAAGCAATCTCTCTAGAAGTGTCCTAGCCTCCCACATCCATAGCACTTCTTCTTACTTTTATCTTTGGATTTAGATCTCCCACTTGACTTCCCTTCTACTTTCCTTACTTGAAAGTTATTCGCTCTCCTTTCACTTCTCCCTTTTACAAACATAATTTCTTCCCTAGCGTTTCTTGATTCCTTTTTAACCTCTAAATCTCTTGATCTCAAGGTTTCTATTACAATTGCTTGTGATAATTTGTCACTTGAGTATTTTATTACATTTCTCACATCCTTGTAAGAGTCAGACGGAGAATTCAATAAGATGACAGCCAAATCTTCATCATCAAATTTCTTCTTATTACCTGTAAGACTCTTCACAATTATACTAAAATCACTTAGATTCAACTCTAATTCCTTTCCCGGGTCTATCCTAAAACTAAACAATTTGTACAAGAGGTAAATCCTATTTGGCAATGTCTTAGTTATGAATAAAGCATCAAGTGCGGTCCATAAATCCCTAACATTCTTAGCTTCATCAACTTTTCTAAAAATATCATCATTCAAATGTAAAATTATATAACTGTATGCAATTTTATTCATTTCCTCAATCTCAGCAGGTTTAGCTTTTAATTCAACAGAAAATGTTTCAAGATCATCAAGGGCTTTAGCAAACCTTTGTTGGACTAAAATAGCCCTCATTTTCTACTTCCATATCGAGTAATCATCATTTCCATCGAATTGTGATAACTCGACCTTCGAACCCATAACGGATTCAGTAAAATGGTGGCTTGAACTCAAGGCCATTTGGTAATCTTATTTGCAGATTCCCCAAAAAATAGGCAGGTTTTTTTTTGGAAAATCACTTTGGTTTTACAAATCAGTCAAGAAACAATTTCAGAATTAAACAAGTGAAATAAAAGTTAGATTATAACGAGTTATATGTGTGCTACACGTATGTGCGATAATCAGCAATAATAAGTAATTCGTCAATTAAAAATTATGCAGTCCAGGTATGCGTAACATTCAGCAATAACTAATCATTCGTCAATCAAAAGTGATGCAATCTAAATTACAACATATATCAATATAACATGCAACAAGAGACAAACTTGCATTAAACGATAAGAATTAATTTCAGGAGTTTATAAGTATTGGAAAGATCTCACCAACAACTGTTGTAAAACAGTTTTACCCTCCTTAATATCAATTTCTTATTAAGAAGCTAAGAATCCAGCAAGTCCACCTCCAATTTAGTGGTAACAATTACAGTAATACAACCCGAAACACTTGATCAAACAATATCAGTAAGCGTTTAACCAATTTAATGACTCTATAGGTACTTTTAGAGGTCTGCAGAATCCCCTAATTTTCCAGCCAGTGTATTTTAGCCAAAAAAATTGGTTCAAGAAACCAGAATATGACCCAAGAAAAAACGTGTGATTGGTTTTAAAAAAAAAATTACAGATCTCAGATTTCGAAAAAACAGATTTTAGCAAAGATGTTTTATTTGAAAATTTTTCAGAAAACGGAAAAATAGTCAAGAACCCCAATATAGGCTCTGATACCAGTTTTGTTGGGATTATTGGTTCCAGATCAAGTTTTCACCCAAAATAATCATATATTTGTAGTGACTCAATCAACCGAAAATATCTATCAAATGAAAACTCACAGCACCACAAACATTGAATAAATGTAGAAAATAAATAACACCAATAACACGAAATTTTTCACCCAATTCAGCACTAAATGGCCTAATCTGGGGGGCTCAGCCACTAGCTCAATCCACTAGTGCATCGAGAAAACCTTCCAGAAGGAGATGTTTACATATGGAACCAAATATTAGACTTTTAACCGGTTCTAGTCACAGATCGAAAAAATTCTCTTAGAACAAAACACAAAAAAACCTCAAACCTTATCGCATAAATTACCCGAACAGGAACTAATCAAAACAGCCAAATACAGACTCAAGCTTCTGTTACAATATGTGAAAAGATTCATAGATCTATTCAAGACCAACCACTCAATCTATGGCAAAAAAAAAAAAAAAAGAATCACGCTCTTCAATTTTTCTCCTCTGATTACAGAACTCAATTTCATACCAAGAGTCTAAACCTAAGGTGAAAATAAGGCTCACAATAGATCACAGTCCTAAGATCTGATCAATGGTCTACAATGAAGGAAAGAAAGCACAATCTGGGTAACAACAAATAAACCAATTGGAAATTGCCATGTGGACTCACAACTTAAAGAGTTGCACATTTTGGAAACACGTTTTTATCTTTCACTTCCGTCCCATAGAAATATGTTTGTTTTTCTTTTTTGCTTGTCTCAAATTATAGACCATTTTTCTTGTTGAGAGTATATTTGATTTCTTAATTTAATGAGTCTATATTTAATGTGCTTTGTTATTAAAAATATGAACCACTCCTATTTAAACCATTATTGAATGTAGGGGTATATTAGAAAAAATGTAAAATACATTTATATTTTCAATTTATACTAATTATATTTTCTTAATCTAGATAAAAATGAAAGTAAACGTATCTTTATTGGATGGATGGGGTATTTAATTGGGATTTTGTTGAGAAGTATAAATTTTCACTATGTTTGGTATCATTGGTATTTGTAGTATAGAATATGGCCATTGCACTTTTTGTAAATCCATGAAGTCCAAATACAACGTAGAAATTGGTTCATTGGTCCATTTGCTTTTGAAACTCTAAAATCTCAAGCAATTAATTAGGTCAAAGTTATTTTTTGGGGACTTTCGAATGTAAATTGCGAATTTGTTATGTAGTTTCAATATATCTAAATTTTACCAAGTTGGAACATTTCGAAGTGAAAGCTCCTAAATGCACAGTAACCAAGGCGGAAAAACGAAAAATGAAAAAAAATAAATAAATGTTTCAGCAAATACACCATGACTTTTTGTAAATTCGTGAAGTCGAAATATAACGTAGTAATTGATTTAGATAACAAATTTCTTCGATGTTCATTCTTTAGTGTGAATATGGGGATTACATTTACACCATGACGTTCCTCACAATTTGTGCTTCTAAAGTACTCTCTCTATTCCGCATCCTCAACGTATTTTTCTTTGGCCCAAACGAAATTATTGGATGTTGCCTATTTAAAGTATAGTCAACAATTATTTATTTCAAGACAAATGGGAGACAAAGACAAAAGTTCTTCAAATCAAGCAACTATTCAAGATTCTTCAAATTGCTTATATATATATATATATTTGACTGTCGATTCATCTCCATTCTACCTTCTAACTCTTGAACATTTTTCTTTTTCGGCTCAAGGCTTGGTTCGATTTTAAAAACATAGGAAAAAATTACGTGACACAAAAAATTTAACTTTGTGCTAGAAATGATAACTGATTCTAATCCGTTAGTTCTCGATTCTAATACTCATTTTTCAATTTAACTTAAAAAGAATCGAATAAAATCGCTCAATATAGGTGTAGTTTGGTCCAGGAATTCGGTTGACCCCTACTTTAAGGGCTTTTCGATTTGTTAACAGTAGGTCGTTCATTGAGCTTGAATTTTTGGTTGTATACAGTACACAATATACCATGACAACATATTTGTTGTAAATATTGAATTTTTATGAGTATATTAGGTTTTGCATGAATATGTAGTATTTTAATTGAATTGACAAGCAAGTGATGAAATGAGTCAAGCTCATATTTGAGCTTAAATTTTATATGTTAACTTGAGCAAAATCTAGATGAATAATGTATTAAGAATCAGCAAAACGACACTCAAGAGTCATCAATTAGAGTAATAATTAGTAAGATCAAAACATATTGTTGCTCTAAATGTTACTTCGGACCCCTTTCTTCAAATTCCTTGTAATTAGAAGGGTCTCGAAGGAGAAAATATATGGATTGTGTCTTCTTAACATATCAAGTCGAGAGAATGAGGCCTCGGGTTATTCAGCACGTGATGGTTTAGTGTAAAAATAAAAATAATACTTAAGATACATAATACACAGTCAATAATTTAAATAAAAACTAATGTAAAATCAACTTTGCACGTTCTAGAAAATTAATCTATTAAAATTAGATGTTGGAACAATCAATTTTGTAAATTTATTTCATCTCCAAGCCAATTACCTTTAACCTTGGGTCCAGTTGGCCCATCCTCCCCCAACACCTCCTTAGGAAGACTCCACATAAAGTTGTCAAATTTAGTCTGCAATTTCCCTGGCAATAACTTATCAACATTCTTGATTTCATCCTCAATTTTGTAGCTTAGTTTTGGACCCCATTTTCTAGCAAAATTCAGCCACGGTGGCTCTTCATAGACAGACCCCATATAATCTGCATTAACTACTGAAAACTTTTCTCCAGCGTCCAGTAAAATTTTCCCCTTGGCAGTATCATCTCTTATGCCAATATTCCCATTACCTAGTAGAACTTGCCCGGGTTTTGGATACGAGGCGTGGCCATGTAACGATGAATAGACCACGGGTTTGTTTCCATTTTCGAACTCTAATTCCGAAGCATCTACCCATACTCCTTTATTGTGTTGAGAAAAATAGACACCCTTAAGCTCCCCATTGAAATTGCTGATTCTTAAGGTCACATGTTCCCAATCACCTACATGTTCTCCGAGTTTCCCCAAGTGAACATTAAAGAATTCGACTTTTGCCTTGCCAGGGCCATTGAAAGGGTAAAATATCCATGTTGCTACGTCTGTAAATGTTGCACCATACATGGGTTTGACATGTAAATAAACATAGGCATCTTGTAAATCTCCTTTCTTGACTCTCTCTTTTTCTGTATCATCAATAGGAAGGTCTATCCAATAGGCACCATCATTTCCACCCCCATAAGGAAGGTTTGAGCCCGTGGCATTGATGGCGATTGGATTCGATTCTTGACCTTTTGTGTATAGTAGTGCCCCATTTTCGAAAAACCATGTCACTGAGGAAGGGAAGTAGTTTTCATCAGGATGAAAATAGATACGAGGCGAGTAAGCTTGAATCAATGCCTTGACCTGATTTGAATTAGGCAATGCAGTTTTGTTGGCTTTCGCATTCTTCAAACAGGCTAGAGTTGATCCAGCAGCCCCATTGGTTTGGGCTATAAATGTTCCTGTAGGAATCCCCATGGCTTGAATTCCTCTAACTGAAGGAATTGTGCTATACGCATTGATATTATTTGGATTAATATTATTCCCTGGTCCCCAAATCCAAGCATCATTTTCACTGGAATCCGTGAAATCAGAGCGGACGCACAAGATTTTGTCGAGGGCTGGCTTCTCAGGCGAGCTCGTGACAATGTGTCCAACGGCTTTATAGCCATCAGGGGGTGTAGGCAGCCAGATATAACCAACGCCATCTTGCTTAATTTTCAAAGACTCACTACTCCAAACAAGAGTGTAGTCAATTGGTTCCTTCAAGGCACCTTCTTTTTTTGCATCTTTTCCTACAAGAACCCATCCAGATAATGGTCTATTGTTGGATTGGCTATAGAATCCAAGCAAAGAGAATCCATCTGGTACAGAAGATGGTTCAAAAAATGTTGCGCCAAGATTATCTGGTCCGCCTTCATGTGTAGCCCACACTTTAGAAAATGTCGATACTTGACACACTTGTAATCCTCCTAGATCAATGATTCCACTAGCAAATCCTTCACCTAAATCCAAAAGAAAAGAAAATCGAATTATAACCATACTCACGAATAATAATTAGAGCGAAAAGCGTGTAATGATGTACCTTGAGGCCACGAGGGGAGGGGAGATGGAAGCTTGAAAAAGGTTTCTATGGGAAGAGGCTTGTGTTTTTTCTTGAAAGGATTGGGAATGGAAAAAGAAGAAACATTGATACGATTCTCCATTGTTGAGCCCTGCAAGCAACAATGTATTTAGAGCATAATTTTGTTATGAATATGAATAGAAAAACGAATGAGACCAAATCAGTGATCAAGCAATGAACTTTAGTACATGTCGTGCAACGTATAAAACCCTTTTATACATGTTTTTCTACTCATCAATAAAATCTTTTAGTTTGGAGGATTTGGAGTGAACAAATCTTGTACCCTAAGACCTTTCCATCTTTCTTGCACAATTTTCATCCAAGCTTGGGGTTGACTATAAAATACTAAATTACGAAAAATAAGTAGCGACTCGACTCAAACAAGTGCAACTTTCACACTTATCAATTCTTTTTATTAAACTTGCACTTTCTTAAAAATCCAAGATACTTTTCATGTTTACTATTTAATTTCACTATTCATCATAACCATTCACTATAGATATTCATTCATATATTATTGTTTTCATTCGTATGCTTTAATTTCAAATTTTGTAACTTTATCGGTATTTTTAGACCGAGTTGAGATCTGCTATCCAATTTTTGCTGTCTAGCTTGGTGTCCACCCAATTAATTATTAACACGTTATTTTCAAATTAACATGTCATCTCAAATTTACCCTCGTTAACTTCACCACTAATTCATCAAATTAGACAGTAGATATCAACTCTTATAGACCGTATCGATCATGCTTCTTATTGTTGTGCAAAAGTTGCAAGCATTCTCTTTGTGAATTTCTAGTATTTAGTTGTAGATGATATTTGTGTACCTGGATATATATTTTATTGATTATGCTGGCAAAGTATAAGAATATTGGAATATTTTGTTTGGCTTATTCCAGTCATTTATGAGATTCACATGTGTTTGTTACTATATGTCAACCCATTGGACCAAACCACAATTATTTAAAGCCCAACACAAAAACTTTTTCTGTGTCTGGTCCATAAGCCTTGTATTAAACATTATTATATGTGGGACAAGATTATGAGCATCTAATGTTCATATGTTTTGTCTTTTTCCTTAATGTGAAATGCTGAAAATCAGATAGGATAAAAAGCAAGGAGAGTTCATCTTCTGCACAGATCTGGTAAAGATAGCACCATCTTGTAAATATCCGATTTTCTATTCAAGAACAGTTTTTTTTTTCCATTATTTCTAGTATTTTCTTACATTGCAAAATCCTGTTTAATGTTTTTTGGCAGTTAATCTTACCAGCTAAAAACTATTCTCAATTCCAACAGTATAAACATAGACACAGAGACACAGGCAAGGACAATTCTTGTATAAAACACACGAACAGAACAAACACACACAGATAAAGGGCATCTAGCTAGACAGACCTGGATGAACCTAAGAGGAGGCCGCTCTTTTAGACGACTCCAATGCTTCTTGTCTTCAAGATTCTCCGTGCTCGATCCTGCAGCAGTGCCACCAAAGGGCACCAGTAACAGAAACACAAAGCAAAGGAATGCCTTCACATTCATTTTGACCACTGCTAAAGTGAACAGCCGTAACTAAAGAATTTCTTTTTTTATATGCAATTTAGTCGGTGTTTGTTCAACCATAAGTTGAAGGTCTGAACACTTTTTGCTCACTTTTTCGTATAATTTATAGCCAGTAGTTTTTAACATTAATTCGGATGGCAGCATTAATCAAATTATGCCACTGTTTTACTATCATTATTTGAAAATTATTTTTTTGCATACTTATTTTTAACTATACATTTATACAATAAAATATTCTGTACGTAAACATAAAATTTTTCTCAATTTTTTAACCACATATTCTCTTAAAAATCACTTTTCGAAATATTGTTTTGACCAAATAATTGTCATCCATCACGGGCTAAATATAAGGGCAATTTTTACGACCAGTTTAAATGATTTGCAAACAAAACTTTTGAAATGGAATATTGAATTTAGAAGAGTCCAAGAAAGTCAGCAAATGATTTGCTGTTTACCATGTGAGTGCAAGGGATTAAAAGGACAGCTTTGGAAAGATCAATGCCATACCTTACATACCTCGTAACTCTTTTGAGACATTTATATATTGGAGTTGTATTTACAATCAATGACTATCACAAACTATAATTGAAAGTAGCATTCTTTGATGCCTGAGGCCTAAGATAGTTCCATAATGAGCAGATAAATTTTATGACGATCAATAATATTGCCTCGTGAAATAAGCTTCGAGCATGAGCATCAAGTAATATAGCTTTGCATTATGTCATACCACGTTGTGACCTTTTCATGATATTACATTCGATAATATTTATCAACCATAGTGGAATGTCTTCAATGGCATTATTAAATGTGGAAGTCCGACGTACGCATTTGTTATGTTCGATAGGTATTTTTTTACTCTCTATCCTACAAAGATAGACTTGCTTTTATTTTCACACAAATTAAAAAAAAAATGTGATTAATATAATTGAAATTATAAATTTTACTTGCACTTTTTCCTAATATACCCTTATATTAGATAATGATTAAAATAGAATTAGTGTTCATTTGTTAATAACAATGCATACTAAATAGATGTATATTAGAAAATTAAGAAATCAATTATCTCTTAAGCAAGGAAAGTGACATATAGTTTGGAACAAACAAAAAAATAAACAATCATATCTTTATGGGACGAAAAGAATAATTATTTCTAGTTATATTTACTTTTCATGTATACATTTTGTAAGACCTGCAAGTATTACCCACTTATTTATCATGTATTTTTGAGCGATACTATTTGTGCATAAGAGTTTGACAATCGAGGTTGATAACCTCTCACATGGGGGGTCCACTTTTTTTATTTTGAATTTTTTAAACATGCAGACCCCGCACGTATGTGAGAGGTTGTCAACCTCTTATATACAAGCAGATTAACTCTTTATTTTTATCTATTTAAAATTGAAATCGATTATAATCCCCTATTAAATATGTACAGCAGCCAGTAGGTTCAATAGAATCTTGCTCCTGGCCCAGGGACGGATTCGCACCTGGCCAGTCCCTGCGGCCGCCCGTGCTGGATTTGTTGAGAGCTTAACCAAACAGTCGCCAACTCACCGTCCACCGGGAAGAATGAAATGAAGAAGAAGAGGCTATGATTTTTTTTCCCCCTTATTGTTTGGGCCTTTCTTTTAAAAAATAAGGCCCAACAGAATGAAAAATGAGCCCGAACCATGACCATGGGTTTCACTTTTGCCCCTGAAATTGCAAGTCCATTAGCCACACAGCAAAACCAAATCCAATTTGCTCAACCAAAAATATGTTTTAGTGCAATTACTTTTGTATTGAATTTTATTTTCGTCTATTACGATCGTTGATTTGTCAACGGTCATCGATCAATGGTCATCGGTCATCGGTCTTCACCCTAATTGAATGAAAATGCTGGATTCGCCCCTGCCCTGAGCCCTTCAAGACATTGTTTTAACTGATAGAACTTGATAAATCTTTGTAGACAAAAATAATGGAATTGGATTATGTGGTGATGAATCTCATCAAGGTTAAAATCTTTAATCACTTATTTACTTTTTAAGGTCTTGGGTAAAATGATCTGTCACTAATAGTCACCCACTTTTATTATTATTATTCATTTGAGATAAAAAGGTAACCTCATGGAGGAGTTCTTTCTCACCACAACTTTAAATGACAAAAAGCACATCGATGGATGCTAACATTTACCTACCCATATTGGTACAGTTTCAATATGTTCACTCTAATTTAATCATACTCTAAATGAACTATTTCAATAAATAATCATGACGTGCAAACTTCAAATTTTAAGTTCGAGTCTCATCACCCACAGCACAACACAATGTAATGTAAAAAAGAAAAAAAAAAAATTCTAAACAAAAAAAAAAAAAAAAAACACCAAGAAACGTTATATGAAAATATATAATTCATTTTGGTAAATTTATTATTTTAGTTGAAAAAAATAGAAATTTTACATTAATTCGAACTCTAATAATTTGTTGGTATTTTGTTGTATAAGATTAAAAATCTAAGCATCTCTCTCATTCTCTTTATTTTTTAGAGTAAATTACTTATTTTAAGAGTTCAATAAATTTTGTATAGTTAAAATTTAAAATTAAGTGAATTGACTTTCCAAATATAGAGAGACAAATTCACTAGCTCTCTCTATATTAACTTTAGTGTTTTTATTTATTATTTTACAATATTCCATACATTTTCTAAAACAAAGGGAAAACGACAATGAACGCAAAATTACAAGCCTTTCCCACAAATTAACTTACAGAGACTCAAGCATACAAGAACACCTCAAAGTGATAATCAATCACTCCAATTCGGAATTATTATCAAACAATTTTAAATAAAAAAGAAACATCACCTCTAGCACCACTCATCAACAACCTTAATGTGGAGTTAGGGAAGAACATCAATAGAAGCAAAACTTTCTAATACATAAAGAACACATTCGACTTTTACTATGCTAATCGATCCTAAAAGAATGGTTTTGGAGAACAAAGCCAGCAATGAAACCTTAATTCTACACTTGGATTTTACATAGAAATTTGAAGTATTTCTTAATATAGGGTCATGGACAATTAGGGTTTCTACCAGGGCCACCATAGTAGAAATAACTGCCCCATTCATTGCTCTTGCCAAGTTGTACATTGTAGCAATTTGACTGCTCGGTGAAAGTGTCAATGTCTTTTGGAGGCCTTAAGTTGTTTGAGTTATCTACTACTTGAATATTCCTGAAATAACTGGCTTTACCAAATCCTTCTTCAGGGAAATGGCCACTCCCCATTTGTGTTGTGGTGTGTTGTCCATCTGATTCTGAGTTTACTACTTCTCCTCCCCATTCTATCATTGTTGCACTATCTGTCAAGTATGAAAATAAATATCCAGGCCAGTATCCCAGTACATACTCATCCCCAAATTGCATCCACCAGTTTCCTTCTTTGGGGTCCTGCCAAAATTGTAAAATATCTAGTCAATAAAATCTATTTTGGACTATATAAATAGGATAATTCTTGTTGTACACTTTTGTGCACAAGAAGTTTGACACTCCCCTAACATGGGGGTGGGGCCCGTGATTTTTAAAATAGTGGACCCACCCCCCATGTGTGGGGAGTGTCAAACTAGATGTACACAAAAGTGTACATTTAGCATTACTCAACCTAAGGCAACTCTAGTCCCACAAGTGTGAGTGGGTTGCATGTTAGGTGCCATGCTCGATAATACAATGAATAAAATTTAGCTTATTTTTCTTCTTTGATACTACACAATATTGTCAATCTACCTTATCAAACAGACCACAATAGGATTAAGACAAAAAAAAATTTCCAATTCTTATTTGTTGTCTTGCATAATACTGTTCATCAGTGCACATCAAACGTGAATAGGGTTAAGCTACTTGTACAGATTTGTTTACATCTTCCTTTATAGAGCGCTAACAAGCACTTTTACATTATATGGAGTACTTTCACGTTAGACTAGGAACTAGGAAGGTAAATGATCGCCGTGTCCACATTTGGAAAGCTTTTGTAAATGAAATCTGTACAAGTAGCTTTATCCCCATGAATAATAGTCAGAGATTCGTTGATTAATGTGTTTTAAGACATTATAAAGAAACATGCATTTGTCTGTTACACAGTATATTGGTAAGAACAGCTAAGAAATTGAATTTCAAAGTGTTAATCATATAAAGTGTGACACGCAGTTCAATGTATTTTAGAAATAAAATTACCTTCCAGACAAGAATGCTGATATCATATTGGGAACTGTGATAGCCAGAAATAGGGGAGATGCTAGCCCCCATTGCTATTTCATTATTGATTTGAATAAAGCCTGAACACAGCAAGTTGTAGCAGCCCGTGGCTTGATAAGAATCACTCTGTCATTTTATCCCAAAATTTCAGCACACAAATGACACCATGTTAGACTCTAATACTATATAAATAGAACAAAAAATGATCCCTCGTGAAGGCTCGACGGTATTAAAGAAGTCTAGTCCAGTACTAATGTACTATGGACAAAACGTGTTGAGGGATCAATATTTCGAATCAAACCAAGCAAAATCTGAGGGCTTACTGTCCAATAGGTGAAAAGTCTTGTGTTGCTATCCCCATATAAATCTGGACTAACCTGTTATCCCAAAAATTGGTACACACCAGTATTATTTTAAATGAAGGTTGTAATAAATTATTGGTAAACAAATGCTTGTAAGAAAGGAATTAATTGTGGTGCTAAGTACCTGCCAACCAGCCTCAATACTGTTTAAATCTGAGGCAAATGAACCTCCCAAAATCCAAATCTGGGACAAGCTGAATTCATTTGATTGTTGAATTTTAGGATCCCATACATTTAGAGTTGCCTTTGCTCCATAATATTTGTCTCCTTCAACATACGCTATTGCATGCTAAACAACTCCAAAAATAACAAAAGACCCCCTCAAAAAATATCAGTTAAAACAATTTTTTGAAAATAGAGAAAGCAAGAAAGAAAGTTAAGAATCTGCTTAGTGAAAAAAGGTTCCCTTTTGCCTTTTGTTCTTTCTTAACTATTCCAATTCAAATGCGTGCATATGGATATTGATCAAGACTAATGTCAACTACGAATGAACCCAATGGGCTGGTGAAAAAAGATTCATGTAGCCAACCCAGATGAAAGGAGTACCTGATGACCACTTTGGTTGATAAGGTCAGGTTCAGGATCAGCAGACTTTGGTTTAGGGACCCTTCTGTGATTTTTCTTCCCATAACTCTTAATTGAACTTGCTCTCAACAAGTCCTCTTTCTTTGTTCTTCTTATTGGAATTGTGCCCTCTGGGCATCTCCCATTCATGTGCCACAACTGAGTAATTGGTTTTGGACCTTCAACATTTTTGCCCACTTTTTTGTCTCTAAATAGACCTTCTGGATGATAATTCGGCCTCGTCTACATTAAGAAAGTATTTAAAATCAAGAAACAAATAAACAAATCAATAGAAACATTAAAAAAAAATGAAATTTTCTGACCTGAATTGTATGATTTTTAAGTAAAGGATGATCAAGAGCTGGTTGATGAGACATATGAACACAGTCAATGATGTCGCCATCTGGGCTCTAATTATCAAGATTAATCAAACCACAATAAGTAAGCAATTATTGTATAAACATACAGAAATCTAATATAATATACACTTATCCATCGACCGCTAAATGCAGCCCGCAGCAGCAAACAAACACACCTTAATGGACTTGAGAGGAGGTTTGTTCAGACTGTTCAAGTGCTTCTTAACTTCAAGATTCTCCATGCTCAATCTGGCTGCACTGCCAAATAAAGGCACTGCTAACAAAAACATGAAGCAAAAAACAGCCTTCATCTTCATCCCAACACACGTAAATTGAAGGGCCATAGCTTCAAATCATGAGTTGAAGATTTGAACACTTTGGATTCACTAATTTGCTTATCATATCCTAAATATAGTACAGATGAACACTTTTTGAAATAGGATTTTTAATTTCAGAAAAATCCAAGAAAGCCTGCCGACGCTTTTTCTATTTAACTCGTGAAGGGGTTAAAGGGCAGAATTGGGAATTTGAGGTATGCAAAAGAGTGCGATGGGAGGAAGGTCAAGAGTCGTTTCTCTCCGCTTCTTTGTCGTTCGTAAAAGTTGGGTTCTTTGTCGTTTCAACTTTCAAGGCATATACTGTTTGGAGTGTATACACTTTGGTCCCTAAAGTTGGAGTAAAATTTCTTCTTCGTTTATTTTGCCCCAAATGAGTCACAAAAGATTGCTAAGCGTTCCAATCTGGTCAATCTATTAGTAAGATTATGAAATCTTAACTGTATGCGTTTAAATTAGGAGTGTCAATATAAGTGGTTCGGCTTACCACGAATTCAAATTCAAACTTGTTTTCCTATTTGAATTATCCTGGTTAAAAATATAGTTGTGCTAGTCTGGGATCATCTTCCAAATCTAAGGACTATATCGACCCACAAACCTGCCAATATTGTAAGCGGGGTTGTCCAACCCAATTTCTTTTTCTTTCATTTGTTTGAGAATTTAAAACGATTTAATTTAAGTCATAATTGAAAAAATTGAATAATATGTGAGAGATGGGAGTAGTGTCTAGAATTTTGAACGAAAGAGTTGTTGGGTCAAGAATTGAAAGAGAGCTCAGCAACTCTCTTCATTTATTTTTACCTTTTGATTTTTTTTAATAATCAAGCCAAATAGGTCGGCCTTCAATCCTTCACGGTCTAGCACGACAAAATCATTATGGTAGACCAACTCGTGAACATGCCTAAACAGGGAATACTGACTTCAATCCCATTTTTTAATGAGGTGAATAATTCGAAAACTTGAAGATACTTTTCCTCAAACTGATATCACAGTTTGAAAAATGATTGTAATACTCCAAATAGGCCAAAACATGAAATCAATCAGTAGAAAATTGGACTTCAACTATATGTCATTTCATATAGTTAGCACCATTAAAGTTTGTGTAACAATGGAATGAATGTCTCATTGGTTACATGACTTTAATATCGTATTCTAGAATTTTAAGTTAATTTATTAGCAACACGATTAAATTGAAATTATTTCTAGCAAAGTCTTATTAGATCACTGACTTAGATTTAAGCCTCCTTTGGAGGCAAGGGTGAACTTCTATTTTTTAAAAATTTTAAACCATTAGAAAACTTTGATGAATAAATAGGAAAAAACTTTAAGGACTAATTTGGAATTTTGCTACAACTTTTTAGACCAAATGTGTATTTAACCCTATCCTATTCCCCGTGCAACAATAGTTGGACAATCCTGTTTCTTCACATGAAATTTCAGTATTCCCATTCCGTCATTATCATCTTACACTAGATGCTTCTAAAATTGAATTCTAATATTTTTCGTAAAATAATTGGTCGAGAAGAATATCGTACTCTCGATTCACATGGCCATCTCACGTGAAAATTCCATTCAACTTGAATATAATCTTAAAAAGTCAATAGTAGTGATTGCACGAGACTTATAAGTAAACTTGAAAAATTGAGCTCGACCAACCTTTGACGTAGAGCGTAGGTCGTTCATAACCACGTTTACACGTCTGAGTTCGGTTTCGTCCATACTTCAGTTCAACTTAGTTAGAATTTGATAACAAGTTTTCGAACTCTTAAACAAAGCAGCACTACCATAAATTGAAAATTAAACCTATTTTTAAAATGTTTCAAAATCGTAAAGATTTTGGACTACATACAAGATCTCAAGACCATCGATCTTAAGTAGCTATTAGTAAACACATTTTCTACTAAAGACAAGACGAAGAGCTTCTTGCGAGAGCAACTTGCCTACAATTTCTAACTAGGTTGTTCCGAAGGCTAAGTGTCTCTTCTCTTTACCATTTTCAAGAATTTTTTTTGTTACTTAATTTATATCAAATAAATTTTCCTTTACAAGTTCAACGTTGGATTTATAAAATGAACCACATATCATGTCATGTCGTTTTCCATTTTCTTATCCATGAAACCTAGATTCACGAAATTATGCAAGATTTTCTCCATGACGTATTTAGTACATGTTCAGGTGTGCTTGTAAGTGATTATAAGTACTAGAACTCACTAATTTTATGTAGTTCAAAAAATAAATAGATTGTAGGTTTGACACAGTAATTGTAATTCTTGCTAAAAAAAAAAAATGCAAGAATTATAAAACAACTTTTAAGTATGGCCGACAAGTAGACTGTTAGAATTGAATTAACCATCCCATTCCTATCTTAACGTAATGCTACGAAGTTCCATTGGGGTTACAATCACACTTTAGGTGACGTTAGATGATACGCTAAATGAAATGAGGAATTATACGACTTACTTAATTTCACCTGTCATATTAACGCCACCTAAATTGTGGTTGTAACTCCAGTGGGACTGATGCTGATTGATTTGTTGTTTAATAATTTTTGGTGAATTCTAGGAAAGACACGTTAATCAAAAATTATTTTACAAATTATCATGTCATCAACACTAAATATTTTGATATGATCTTAAACAAACTTTATATGAATAAAATCAATACTATCAAGTCAGTTGGGAGCCACTAAAAAACTGTATTTGCAAACCTAAAAGAAAAGGAAAAAAATCAAGGGGACAGACTGGTTATTCCCTTTCAGTCTAAACAAGTATTTATTTATTTTTTGTTTTCCTTTAGGGCTCGTCAAACACCTTCTTTTTTCCATTGCTATTTTTTGTTTTAATTAATTTATATTAAATCTTTTTTATACTTCATGTAATATGAGAATTTCTATTGAAAATATTATCAAATTTACGACAATTCAAATTACAATTAGAGCGAAATAGGATCCGCAATACTTTTCTTAGGATAATTTTTCTTCATTTAGTGCTTTACGGTTTCTTATACAAGAAAATCGATCACATAAGAACCAACAAACATAAACTCTCTCCTTTTATCCGAATTCGACATGAACATCAATACATAATTTTCACGTGAAAGAAAGATTTATGTATAAAAAAAGAGGGAGTACGATACTTTTATGGAAATTTTTTTTGAATTGCTTTAAATGTGGGCATATATCTCCTTTAGTTGAGATTGCAATTTGCCAAATAAAAGTCTTTTAACATAATCATGAATTAATTAAATATGAATATTTTCTTCTTTTCAAAAACAACTTTTTCATTCAAATCTTTCGTTTTCTAACAATGGTGGGTTTGTTGGTTTTGCCTGTGGGGGGAGCCTATGTCTTATCATGGTGGGTAGCCAAGTTAGGAGAAGAGCACTATCCGATAATTTTATATTTGATTTGATTGGATGATATAAAGTTAAGGTACTCGAATCTTATCAAAGGACCACAAGATGTCTTGTTGGTAAGAACTCGTGACTTCTCTCTTTAATTTAGTTCAAATACTAAGATTGATTAATACTAAAATTATTTTCACACAAACCTTTGTTGAAAAAGGAAAAAGACTCGTTCGAATGAATAAGCATCCGTTTGGCAAAATTTATAAATTATTTACATAGGATCAAATTTCATTTTCAACTATACATACATTTTAATGAATCTCACTTATCCACCACTTTTCTATCTGTTTATAAATTAAATTGTTTAATTCCTTCCCGAACATAACTTAAATTGTTTTTGGTCTTTAACATATAAAATCTAAAATTTTAAAGAATATAATTTGCAAGATTATTTTACTAAGATTGATTAATTTTCACTCCACCTTCGTTGAAAAAGAGAAAGATTCGAATGGAAATAAAAATATATTATTTATAAATAGTCGACTTTCAACATTCAATTGATCCCTCTTATCCATAACTTATTTCTATTTATTTATAAATTAAACAAATATAAAAACTCTACCCAAACCAAGGCTTTTTTTTTTTTTTTGGTTCTTTAACATATAAAATTAAAGTTTTAAACAATATAATTTACAAGTTTAACGGTTGTTTTTTATAATTTAAGTTTATTTTCTTTAAAAATAAAAATATATGTTAGTTGTTTCTTTATTTTTAAAAGCTTTACCTGTAAACTTTCAAAGACAAATAAACAATAAAATAATTTTAAAAAAAAAGCTAATTAAAATGAAGAGAAGTCCTTTTTTTTTTTTTTTGATTGAAGAGATTTTAATCCAATCATATCTCACAACTTTACGTGTTTGTAAATCAATCTATAAGTTTTGATGTACATATAACACAATCGAAAACAATAATTATTAATTAGGAGAAGATGCATTTTAGAATGTGAAATTTAGGACTTGTTTGATAAAGTTACTTTTTGTTAAGAGTTGGTCAATTTTTATTTTTTTTTTTTTTTTGGTTCTTTAATATATAAAATTAAAGTTTTAAACAATATAATTTACAAGTTTTAACGGTTGTTTTTTATAATTTAAGTTTATTTTCTTTAAAAATAAAAATATATGTTAGTTGTATCTTTATTTTTAAAAGCTTTAATTTGTTGATAGTTGCATTTTTTCAAATATTATACCTAGTTAACGAACAATTCTACGTTTTTTATTCTAAAGTCTTATGAAAAGCTAAGTAATGCAGGAGTATGTTTGAAATGGAATGGACCTGACACACTAGTATGTTTGAAATGGAATGGACCTGACACACTAGACTTGGAAGATTCTCGAGCTTAACTCTAGGCTATATGGGGTAGATTGCATTTGTGTCATAGCTACTATAACTTTTGGGTGAAGTTGTGGAACTACATTATGTTGGTATCAGAATTGGAGGTATCGTGTTTAGGTTGATACTAGAGTATTTTTGTGATGTAGATGAATAATATAGGAGCATGCTTAAAATAAGGTTGAGTCCCACGGACTTGACTTGAAGAGAATTCACAAACTTGATACTGAATGATATAGGGTCGATAACAGTCTCACTACAATAAAAGAATTTGA